ATATATATATATATATATATATATGCATTTACAAATTCAATTATTTATCAATAACTATGGGCTTTCCGGTAGACTTGTAGAAGTATGCAAGGATGAGTGCACGCAGCTCGACTGTCTTAATTGCCCATGACGAAAACTTGTATGAAGTACAAATATAATAAAAGTACTAACTTCTACAAACAGATATGAAATGCTCAGCCGTGTGCGTAATTATGACGTAGAACACTGTGTCTCAGTGAAGTTATTCCGTGTCCCTACGCATTTCCAGTAAAAAAAATCTCGGCTCCAATTTGCGTAAAACACCACCAATCACACGAGACCGGAAGAACCTTGACGTTAAACCTTGCCGAATATAAGTTGCACACACAGCGAGCAATCTTTGCACACCGCAGATATGGCTCCTCTGGCGAACTGCCACGATCGCTACCAGACATTTATTCACAGGGCCGCGGACAAGCTACGTCTTACTGACCACAAAATTATCAGAGCAGTAATCGCTGAAACCCTGGGCACCCTGCTGTTAGTTTTCTACGGTGATAGCGCAGGAGCCCAGAAATTTTCCAGTAAAGATAAAGCCAACCAGTTTCTCGCGGTTAGCCTGGGTTGGGGTGCCGCCGTAACCGTGGGCGTTATTGTCAGCGGTAAGGCCGGACCCGCCAACCTGAACCCAGCTATTGCCGTGGCCAACACCATCACCGGACGTTCGCGGTGGTCGCTCCTGCCAGCCTTCGTTTTGGCCGAAATAGCTGGTGCTTACCTGGCTGCCGGTCTAATACTAGCTGCCTATCACACAAACATCTATCACTATACGATGGTCAACGATTCAGGCATCTACCTGGTCAACACAACGGGCGGCATTTTTGTGGCTAATAAGGGCGCCAGTTTGCAGTCAGCGGTGACGGATCAGATCATTACAACAGCCTTTCTGGCTTTTGGTATTTACGCCATCATTGACAATAAGTTGGTTGAGAAGCCCGCTCACTTTACGCCTGCTGCCGTGGGTCTGATCGTCTTCCTCGCCATCGGCACCTACACTGCCAATGCAAGTTCTGCTCTGAACCCAGCTCGTGACCTTGGCCCTCGTCTCCTCCTGCTTTCAACTTGTAAGTCTACTAGATCGGAATCTGTAACTTAATCGAATTATCGTTTTCCTCCTTTGAGGCAAACTAGAAACTAAATTTATTGATTCGTTCATTATCCATGTGCAAACGATTTTGTTTAGATTGTTGGAGTCTTGCAATGCAAGTCAAAGTCTTTTGCGAAAGCTGCAGTCTCGATAGAAATTTTTTAAACGACAAATGAAATAGTGAACCCCTTTTATCCAAACAGACATATTCAATTACGCGAAGATAGTATGCACTCTAGTGTGAAAGGCAGTACGAAGTTATGTTTCACGAGAAAGCATGACGATATTAGGCGACAAATGGTTTTAGTCTGAGCGCATTTGAAAAGTTGCTAATGGTTATGTTAATGCAGTCCTACTTTTAGACAGATTTACACAGGTTTCTTTTATGGCCACTGCATTCAGGTGTATCTCCAAATTGTTTGCTCAAATTGAGTAGTTATTTCTGTTTAAAACCTTATTTGGGAAAGATACGATATATCCGGGAAATATGTACTGTTGTAGTTATACGTTTCTATGAAAGTATCTAGCAATGTTGAAAGCCCATCCTACCATGCTGTTTATGAACTGCAGCGGTTAATTACCCATCATAACAATTTTGTGACCACCTAAAACTTCACCATCATTCAGCATATATAAGGAAAATAGGCAGAGCCTTTGAAAACCCTATTTGAAGATAGAATCTGACAAATCATACATATGTTTCAGGGTGATATACGTACATTATATCAATTGTTTGCGTCTACCACATGTGCGACCATCAAGTAAATTTTAATTACGAACAATTAAGCCCAAGTGAAAAAACAGTGTTCAACTTGAACTTCACAAGATTAGGAAAACGTTGATGATGATGATGGTGGTGGTGGTGATGATGATGATGATGATGATGATGAT